GATGTGAAGCGGGTGGAGATGAAGATTGAAGGTGAAGCGTAATGAAACGAATAATAAGTGCGTAAAGTCAATGTGCTTAAACTTAAATATAGTTTAAAGACAAATGCATAAACTAAAGTGCGAAAGATAAATAACGTAAAAACGAGAATTAAAGTGCGATAAAATGAATCAAAGCGATAAATAAAGCAAGAACGAAATGAAAGCGATAAGAACGATAAAGTAAAATGAACTTCAAATTAAACTTAATTAAAGTGCGATAACAATGAAAAGTAAAGCAATTTAAATAAACTTGAATTTAAATTACAAGAAAATATAAATTGAACGAGAATTTAAACTTATACTAAAAAAAGGAAAAACTCGCTACACTAAGTGCATGAAAAGTAAAATCCTAAGTCTATGAAAAGAAAAGTGCGAGACGAAAAATAGGTTTGTATGTCTGATGTTATGTGTCTTCTGCCTTCGTTTGGTAAGGTTTATATAAGGCATCCGTTAGCCCATGGGCTGGCCATTGAATGGCCAAATGTCAACTCTTTAAAAACTCTTTCCTTTTGAAGCCCCTTGAATTCGTGGGTTCACGTTGGCCGAAATATTATGATTGCTTGATTCTCTCATGTTTTGGAATATGTTGAACTATTATCAATCTCCTTGATTTGTTTCCTTGTGAGGCCTCCATCACATGCACACTGACCTCCGAAAATCTTAGGCGTGAATTTGTGGCATGGACCTTGACCTCCGAGATTTCATCTTGACATCTGGTGGAACTTGTGCCCCTTAAGTTTTTAGAATTCTAGAGTTGGCTTACCATCCGTCGACCATCCGCCAAGATGGGTGGTATGGGAACTCCAAATATTTGGATGTTGGGCTTAGACCTACATTGGACTATATTTGAGTTCTCAAATACTCGAATATTGGGAACTCGGCGGACATACCTCCCGCCGAACTTCAACTCCATTGGCCCGACTTTGCTTGCCCAAATTTTGAGAGGAGGGCGCCAAGGTGAGCAAGGAGAAAATTCACCCCGGCCCAACTTTTTGAGAAGGAAGCATTCAGCCACTTTTGTAAGGATATGCCCAGCTACTTTTTGCAAAGGGAAGTATCCGACCATATTTTTGAGAAGGCACCACGACCTTTGAAGAAAACACTTCAGCCGCATTTGTTAGAAGGCACCATGGCCTTTGAAGAAAAAACCTCGGCCACCTTTTTGAGAAAGCACTTTGGCCGCTAGGAATTCTACGCCCGCTAGGAATTCTTCGCCCACTAAGAATCCTCGCTCGCTAGGAATTCTCGCCCGCTAGGAATTCTCGCCCGTTAGGAATTCTTCGCCCGCTAGGAATTCCTCTTTGGCAGATTGGGTGAATTTTGAGCACCCCCAAACACATTGTTTCATAGTAATTGAAACATTGCACTTCTTGGCTTATAATTGCAACATGAAAAGACACATTTGTTGATATTTTTTAGTCACATCTTTTTTGAACAGAGGCTTTATTGCTTATAAATAGAGAATGTCCTACAACATTTGATTCATCCAATTATCATCCAACAATAGTGGTTTTTAGAGCATTCTTAGCATTATATTTTCATAAATATAGTGAATTAGTAAGAGAGAATTCGTACGTACAAGTTTGAGTTCACTTTTCTTGGGGATTACTTCAACAAGAAGTCGATCGTTGTATCATGGGAGACGTTTGCTAAGCAAATCCTAAAAATATATGTGATGAGGCAATTTCGTCTTAAGAAGATAGAACCAAGTTCTAAACTCGATTATCTGTAAAGTATTCTTAATTTTCCTTGTCGTTATTTTCTTGTATTTATTTCAAATTTATAGTGAAGTTTTATTATCAAAAATTTGTAAATATCAATTACCCTTATATTTTACCAACAATAAGTACATTTGCTCCTTCATCAAATTCATCATCATGCATGCAAATGGAAATAACAAACTTTTTTGGAAAATAAATAAATTAGTTAAGTATAAATTACTTGGAGGTAAAAAAATATTGTTATGTTTGTTTGTTCATTTCGGTTGATATTACCTTATGAATACAAATCAATATTAATAGGGCAAATTGTGGGGTGCGTGTGCGTCAAAATGAGTGGTTAGCACTTCATGAATTGGGACTTGTGAAGGGCATCTTGCTCATGCACGCTCTTGAAAACAACTTCCCATAATTTACAAATCAACTCCATCTAGTCCTCTGATAAATTATCATGAAGGAGAGATGTCCTAAATGCAGAGATGGGTTGGTCCCTAAAAATGCACAACTATAACGTTGAAGTTCGAAAGCTAGTATGGGGCTCATCGACATTTTAGTTGCCAACCCCAACTGTGGAGAGAGAGAGAGAGAGAGAGAGAGAGAACAAAACAAAAAAAGGTGTGAATGTTGCTTTCGATCTAACTAAACTGTATAAAATATACAGTGTATATATGAAAAAGTTGCTCAAAATTACATATGGAGAAAGACTTCTTCTTCTTCTCAGCGTGTCTATGAAAGTATGAATGAGATTGAAGTTCCATAGTATACTAGATCCTTGTCATCATAATATTGTAGACAAGAATCTACTTTACAGGAACGCCAAGCTGCATTAATTCATTCTTTATGTTACATCAGAGTTTATAATAAGTCAGAAACTAATAATCAGATATTCATTAGCCAACTTAGGGTAATTTGGATTATGTAATCATTAGCTTAATCTTTCTCTGGAGAAAAACTATCGTACTACGGAAATAACACTTTTTGTTATCCCGATTAATAACAATAGATATAGCAAAACAATTTGACCAGACGATTAGATGGAACTTAAAGAAATAAAATTATATGTAGATTCAGCTGAGGTCAGCAAATTGTCCCCATTTTGCAAAACTCCAAGGTGCCCTGCATGCCTAGTACTTTAATTAGAAATCAACAGGTGTAAAGATTGAAGAAAGACAAATTAATATGATAAATAGTAGGCCATGGCTAGCAACAGAAATTAATGCGCTCCAACTAAGTGTATATTCCATGAAGAATAAAGATATTTCCCCTAGATTTTATTTCTCTAACATAGATTGTGCATTTCATTTTATATTGAATCCATTCTAGCTCCCCTAGATCCCCGTATCCAAACACCATCATGCATTGGGGTTATTGGGATCTTATTTCCTCATTGACCCCTAAACATGTATTCTTCTTCTTGTCCTTTATTGTCTCGCCAACTTTCGACAAGTACAGATCGACATTAATTGTCTTAATTAGATGGTGCGTTAGCTAGGATTATATGCAATAGTCATGTGTCTATTGTGCCTACCAAAATTTAAAAATTTACATATGTTCCTTTATCATACGATACAATACGATAGTCAACATGATTAATGATAAGTAATTAATTTTAAACTATATGCATATCGTGTCAGTTAAAACAAGAATTTATGTGTTCTCTTATCATACAGATAAAGTTACTACCTAATTCACTACCTTCTTTTAATAAATAATTAATAAAATCAAACTACGTGTTCTTTTATCGTACAGATGAAGTTAATTACCTAACTCACTGGCTTCTTCCAATATATAATTTTGATGTGTTTACTAATCAGGAATTGGAATTCTCATCAGGAATTGAATTCCGCTTATGGAGAATTCCTTTGTTTACTTCACATCAAGGAATTGAAAAGTAAGCGGGGCCCACACAAAATTATGAATTGAATTCCTAATTTTGGAGGAATTCAATTCCAGAATGGGAGATGGTATTATAATTTCTGGAGAATTCACCCATTAGAAATTCATCTTTTTTACCCATTATATCCTCACACAATTTTCAAAATTCCAAATATGCCATATACTTTAACCCAAAAATGAGGACATTTTAATAATTAATACCACTCATACTCGAATTCCATATGATTTAGTAAACAACTTCAATAGAAATTCGGAATCTAACTCCCCTTAATCCATATGGTTTAGTAAACAACTTCATTAAGAATCCGGAATCTAATTCTCCTCCTAATTCAATTACGAATTAGTAAACATGCCATTAATAAAATCAAACTATATGTGAGAAAGAGTTTTAGTCAACTTTTAATTTAATTGATTACAAAAAGCTGGCATGCTAGAGGCAGCCAAAGAACAAGAGGGTAGGGAACAAATGACAGCATGTATATCTTTTGGTCTCCAAAGACAAAATATAAATGTTGGGATTTTGAGATTTTCGGTTGGGTCTCTTATCTTTTATCTGTATTATGAACTTTTTCATGCAAGATTTGTACATGACAACAACTTCACATCAATACATAACAGATACCAAACCACTCATGACTCTGCTCATTTTCTTCCCAGTGTCGAGGAAAGTGTTCCTCCCTTGGAGCCTCTTCTTCTTTTAAATATAATAACTGAGTTATCAATATAAATAATTAGAGACAACAAGTTTCCAAAAAAACAAAACTTTCCTTTTTCATGTTAATTATATCAATGGACAAAATTGTAGGACTGCCGTCTGTTTAACTTTTAAAGTAAAAGTATTTTTTTTATTATTACAAATACCATTACCAAAAACAATATGTATATTTTAGTTACAATTATCATTTTTTTTATACAAACGATAATTTAAACTGTATTAAATTATTTTAATTTATTTGGGTCGTGATTAATTGACCTAATCCATATCTGTAACTATAAAATAAAAAAAATAAAAAATTTATTCTTATAATAATACAAAACTATGTACATGTACACATAGTAGTCTTCCTTGGTGCGAGATATGTATTTCCTGCATAAATCCATACCAGTGATAGTTGGTAATTGGGTGCCACGCGTAAGTTATTCTTACTCGAGGTTGTAAGTCTATCCTAATACTGGTGGTGAGAGTGGTCAATCTTCCCCTAAACTTTTTTAGAAAAAGAAAAGAAAAAAGCACATGGCTATAATGTACTGCTTTAAACCACTACAGAAGAGTTCACTAAAAAAACACTACATAAGGGTCCAAATCTCAGATCACTCCCAAGTTGTTAGTAAAATTACTTTTTAAAGTTACTTTCTCGGCAGTAGACGGCAAGAATTACGCCACGTGGCACAAGGAAGGTAGTAGTAAGCGATCACAAGCAAATAGTCCTCACCGCTGCTTCCTGCGGTGCAACAACTACTCCCTTGCTTACTTGGCAATGGCATCCACAATTTCACCCCATGCTTCTCAGGCGCGTCCTCCATACACTCTTTTATCATTTCTCTTCCTTTTTTAGTCTTTTTTTTTATCGGAAATGAAAAACACCTAAAAAAGGCAAAAGGGACGTGTAGAGAGATTTCTTCCACGAGCATACACTTTTTTGAATGACTTGTAAGCTTATAGGATTTTGAGTTTTTGTCAAACCAAGAATCAAACTAATTAGTAAATAACAATTGTGTTCCTTCTAAAAACCTGAAAGAAATTGATCTGACCGATTTGAGTTTTTTTGGCCCTAATAGTCTCATATGGAATCTAAATAAATTTATTGTGCCATATGAACTTTGATAACAATCTAATCTCATGTCGCTTCAAAAGTAGAGTGTTTATACGTTTTCTCCTTCACATACTAGATGATCAATATCCACTTTTTTATCTCCATCTCCATCTCCCTTTCTTTTGTACCCACCATCTTTAGTCATTCTCACTGGGTATTTACATGTTTAAATTCAATCAGCTGGGCGATGGCTCTTTGAAGAGGCCAAACAGGAGCTGGCCAGAGAGGGTACAAACAAATGTTGTAAGGTGCGAGTGGGACATGTCCAATGCTCCAAAATTCAACTTAAATTAAAAGCCCACATAAATGTGTTTATACCTCCCCTTTGCCCCATCGCCTACTACTACAACTTCTACCCTCCCATAAACTCTGCCCAGAGAGAGCTGAGAAGGAAGCCTTCAGAAAGATAACCAAATCCTTTTTCTTAACCTTCACGCCTCCATTACACCGCTCTCTCTCTCATTCTCTGTGTTTCTCTCTCTACCTATCACTTCTCATAATAACTCTGGTTTTTTATTTATTTATTTGCTTACTCTGTTCTCTATGCATTAAAACGTCCTCATCAGTCCTCAGACATCTCAGACCGCTGATTCGCTTTGCATTGAACCTTCCGTAAACCCTTCATCCCACCCTCTTTAAATTCCTTCCCACCTCATCCATCCACCCCCCAAGATTTTCTTTTCCTCAGCAAAACAGAGTGAAAGAAACAGAGCCTTAACAGAGTCTTCAAAACAGAGCAAGTAAAAAGAAACACAAAGGTTTCTTTCCCTTTCCCTCTTTAAGCAACAACCCCCCCTCTCCCTTCCCTCTCTCTCTCTCTCTCTCTCTCTCTCTCTCTCTCTCACTTTTCTTGGGATTTTCCTACATGGGTTCTTGTAAAGAAAACCAACAAGAAAACCCACAACAATCAAATTGTGAGTTTGTTCAAGGGCCTATCATTGTAGGCGCAGGACCATCTGGTCTTGCAGCAGCTGCTTGCCTTTCCAACCATGGCGTCCCTTCGCTAATTCTTGAGAAAAGTGACTGCATAGCTTCTCTATGGCAGCACAAGACCTACGACCGCCTCAAGCTTCACCTTCCCAAACAATTCTGCGAGCTTCCACTCATGGGCTTCCCTGAAGATTTCCCAAGGTACCCAACAAAATCCCAGTTCATTTCCTACATGGAAACCTATGCTTCACACTTCTCAATCAAGCCCATGTTCAACCAAGCTGTTCAGAGCGCTGAGTTTGATTCTGGGTTTTGGAGGGTTAAGACTCAAGATTTTGAGTACAGTTCCAAGTGGCTTATTGTGGCCACAGGTGAGAATGCGGAGCCTGTTGTACCAGAAATTGGTGGGATGGAGAAATTTCAAGGTCCTATTCTTCACACCAGTCTCTACAAATCTGGCTTTGATTTCAGAAACCAAAGGGTTTTGGTTGTTGGCTGTGGAAATTCTGGCATGGAAGTCAGCCTAGACCTCTGCAGATACAATGCAAATCCTCATATGGTTGTTAGAAACACTGTAAGCCTCCACTCTCTCTACACTGTTTCAGCATAATTTTCTTTTCTGGGTTTTGTTGATTTATGTTTGCACTTTTGATGCCACAGGTTCATGTTCTACCAAGAGAGATGTTTGGTTTCTCAACCTTCGGAATTGCAATGGCACTTCTCAAATGGCTGCCGTTGAAACTTGTTGACAAGGTCCTCTTGCTACTGGCCACAATCATCCTAGGCAACACAGACCAATTAGGCCTCAGGAGGCCAAAAACTGGTCCAATTGAGCTAAAGAATGCCACAGGAAAAACCCCCGTGCTTGATGTAGGAGCATTGTCACAGATAAAATCTGGCAAAATAAAGGTACTTGCTTTAAGCCTTTAACCAACCCAAAAAAGAAACCAAAAAGAATGGTTTGTGATTCATAGCTAACTTGTTGGTATTGCAGGTGGTGGTGGAAGGTGTGAAAGAGATAACAAGAAATGGAGCCAGATTTATGAATGGACAGGAAAAGGAGTTTGATTCTATAATCTTAGCAACTGGGTACAAAAGCAATGTGCCTACTTGGCTCAAGGTAAGCTTGACAATGCCCAGCTGCAACTTTTTTTTAGTATTTACTTCTATCTTTTTCTGAATCACCTGTCACTGTCTTTCTTGGACACATGCCACATACACCTACAAAACCCTTATTTTCTCCATGCAAAAAAAATAAAACAAGTTGGATTTCCAAAAAAAAACAAGTTGGGGTTTTTTTTGCATTTTGGTTTGCCTCTTCATGTATGGTGGCTACTTCTCAGGCAGTATGCATATTTAAATTTATTTATTTTAATTTCAGGGTTGTGATTTTTTCACCAAAGAGGGCATGCCCAAAACACCCTTTCCTGACTGCTGGAAAGGAAGTGAAGGACTTTACACAGTTGGCTTCACAAGAAGAGGGCTTCTTGGAACGGCCTCTAATGCTGTTGAGATTGCCAACGACATTGCTCAACTTTGGAAGACAAACAAAGACTGCAGGAGTTCTTGTAATTCCCATATTATTATTCTAAAATAATGTTTGACAATATTGAAAAAAAAAAAAAAAAAACAAGAGAGAAATTAGAGTTATTCTCTGAGTTAGTGGTGTTTACAGGGGATAATGATTTTTATTTAACTGTTTTTTTAGTACAAGCGATAGTCTAAACTAGAGGGGATGAGAATTTTTCACACACATAACACAACTATGATGCTGTGGAGATTCGAACACGAGACTTCTGGTCCGCAAGTCAAGGCATTTTCCACTCGGGTAGACTCCGTTGGCGATTTTATTTAACCTTTAGCTAGCAAGGCTTGTGCTTCAATTTTCTCTTCTTCTTTTTCTTTCTTTTTTTTGTTTTGTTTTGTTTTTTTTTTGGGTTTGTATATGTAACAATTTTGCTTGGGGGCTTAGATTTCCTTTCCGTCACATGTATGTTCCTTAGCTTTGTACAAACAATTTCAGAAATAGAATGTATTTTTAGCTCCACAAGTCGTGACAAATATGCAAGGCTCTAATTACAAGTCAAATTAAACATATATAGCATCACTATCATCGATCATTTCATATATCTCAGTTTAATGGGGATTGTTGGTACATGAATTGTCATCTTCCAAACCCTTACATTTCTTGTTTCTTAGTTTTGATCGATCCCTTTACCTTTTGGCAATAAGTGCAACTAGTGCATTACATATACATATCTTCACAGATTTTTTTTGTTTCTTTTCCATGTTGTGGATATATTTGGTCAATAACATGTTATTGATAATGATATCGACACCTTATCAATATCATATCGAACTATTTAATTTTGGTCATGCTAGGCAAAACTGATTGGTATATCTAACTCCAATCTTGGGGTCAGCTGATATACAATAAGGAGATATAAGCATGTTTGGCTTGATGAACATAAGCTTAGTTGAACAAATGTTCTTTTATGATCTTAAGTGCCCATATGGTACTCTCTAAATCGTTTTGCAGATCTATGTTCATGTGGTGATTATGCTTTGCTCTGAGGCTTGTTATTGGATTGAAATTTATAAAGTTCAACAAAAATATAAAGTGATGCCATTGTTTTTTTTTATTTTTTATTTTTAAATGTCATCATTCACTTCTCGCGGTGTAATTTATTTCTTATCATTTGGTAAGGAAGGAGTGCATTTCTTTTTGGTTTAACCAAGATGATTTCCCTTACATTTAAAACATGTTTAAGGAAGAAATGTACCAAGTTGAATGTAGAAGATGGATTACTAATTAAAAAAATTTATCCCATCTAATTCCTATAAAATTGTAGGATAACAACACCTTATAACTAATCCCTCATAATCCCCCAACATGGAAACTCATTCATCCTTATCTTCATTTCCTCCTCCAATATACTTTGGATTTAATGACTTTTCCAATCCAATCAAATACTAGTCGTCAAACATGACAAAGTCTAATGATAGCTCCTAAAACGAATGGACTAAGATTAGTCTCATCTCACATAACGTAATATAAAACTTGCTCACTTTTATTATTATAGTTTAGAGCATTTAACTATTTAATTTTTCAGCAGAATAGATGAATTTTGAAATTGAGATTTCTATTAACGTTAGGAGAAATATAATTTATGGTTTAAACTAAGAAGCCAAATTGAATATAGGTCAAATTAATGACATGTTTTACTAATCCGTAATTGGGTAAGGATGAATTGAATTGAAGAGGAATTATAATTCATATTCTAATTGAAACTGTTTACTAAACTATATGGAATCAAGGTATGAATGATTTCCTTATAAGTCGTTTACTAAATTCCCATGAATCGAAATTGAAACAAGTTTGATTACTAAAATACCCTTCTTGTTGAGTTAAAGTGGATGACAAATTTGAAATTTTAAAAATTGTGTGAGGATATAATTGGTAAAAATGATGGAATTCAAGAATTGATACCTCCCACCCAAGAGTACAATTCTTCCAACTCCTAATTTTGTATGGGCATCACTTGCATTTTGATTCCTTTATGTGAGGTAAACACATGAGTAATCTGTAATCGGAATCCAACTCCTTATTTTGATTTCGAGGATTAGCAAACATGTTATATATGCAATGTTGCTATGCGGTGCGTTTTGATGCTGGGCTGATGACGTGGCTCCCTCCATTGAATAATAACGAGAGACGTATCCATCTTACAAAACATGTAGTAGAATGCATGCCACTGTCTGTTTACTTACACTTCCACAATTCTCTTTCACGTT